TCAACAACATCTAGCGTAGGAGCTAATATTGCCCTGTCCTTTAAATAACTGGGATCATCAGTTGTCTGCTTAAACATTGGATACGTGCTCTCTACAATTTGGGCAATCGGATCATCCGAGGGCACAAGCATTATATCCTCAGGTATGTCTATCATTGCGCAACCATCATTAGATCCTCCTATGATTCCATCTCCAATGCTCGCTATCCATTCTGCAAATCGAGCAACCTCTTCACGTTCTTCTGAATTCGTGAGGGTTTGAAGACGCATGTTTTTCGTAAGACGGAGCACAGTACAACTCCTCCAGATATCCGAAGAATTAATTGCAGAATTCACTATGTCCTGACGGCTACCCTTCGGAATAACTGGAAGAATTTGTCGGAAATCTCCACCAAACACAACTGATTTGCCTCCAAATGGTTTATCCTTGTTAGAAGGATCAATTGCTCCCATAATATCCTGCAATGAGGTTTGGACAGCTTCGAAGCAATGCTTGTGCATCATTGGAGCCTCATCCCAAATTATCAAAGAAGCACGTATTATTAATTCTGCGAGACAACTTTCCTGATTGATATTGCAAGAGGACTCTTGGTGGGGATTAATTGGAATTCCAAACCGAGAATGATCCGTTCGTCCACCGGGCAACAAAAGCGATGCTATCCCACTCGATGCTACGCACAACACTATGCCACCTTTGCATCTAATACCAGCAGATAACGTTCTCCACAAATAAGTTTTGCCCGTTCCACCATATCCGTATACAAAAAAAACACCGCCTCGACCAGAATCAACAGATGACATAATGGTTGTATAAACACCTTTCTGTTCATCTGTCATTTTCTCAAGAAGCATTTCGTGTTCAGCAGCAAGAGCCCTTCGATCGTAATTTAACTCATCCATAATCAGACGATTTGATCTTGAATGCATACTGTCACTATCAGGAAAGGGCATATTTGAATAATCACTCAGACTTGCTCCACGACGTTTCAATAAATATTCAATCTCAGCAAGAGCAAGATTTTGGATTTGGTCGTCCGTAAGGAACAATCCTGAAAAACAAAATGATACATAAGCAACACACTAATATAAAATAAATTGGAGATAATTAATAAAAAATAAAAATTACCATCATTGTTGAACAGTCGACGTTGTTTATACAGAATGTCGTCCGACAAATAGTGCCAACATTTTGTCCAAACCTCCTCCGGTCTACCAAAAGAACCAGAAACCAACAATGATGCAAACATGCGTCTTAGAGAGTCTGCAGATGCCCACTGACTTGCTTCGGTTATACCATCAATGTACTCCCTGTCATCTTCCAACAAACCCCATTCGTAGCAAGCATCTCG